GGGGGGGGGGGGGGGGGGGCGGCTGGGAAAGAGGGGCCGCCTCGCCTAGCATGTCGGGAATTGTAGTTCTCAGTTCTGAGGATCTGCGCTTGCGCAATACGAAAGAACTCGTTCCCTTGAGGGTGGGGTGGAGAAGGAAAATAGGTACGGTACGGTACATCACATCACTTTCAGCCTCCTTTCCTTTCAAGCTGATACTGAATAAGGCAGGCACCGCCATGCAGTCAATTATGTGCTCTTACTGTATAGTTTTAAAATTATATGAAGTTATATGCGCAGTAGTGATAAAGCTACTAAATAGTCCCTCTCCCACTGATTTTTGAGATAAATCTATTACAGTACGGAATTAACAGTGCTGTCTTGGCGATTGCATGCATTACAAATTTTTGCTAGAAGCATTTCACACCTGACGTTTAAATGTTTTTGATGGGTAACATCTGATCTAATGGTTTGTCAAGAAAATGTAGAACTCTTCATGAAACCATCAACTCCAGCAAATGTCTCTTGCATCGTGTACCTTGAATTGTTTTCCTATTTTCTATAGCTCTTCCGTCATCCAACAATCAACTACCTTGGGACTTTGGTATTCGCTGAGCTTGGTTTTCATGTTATGAACGTTTCATTGCCAATCTAAGTAACACCGTCAGTGCTTTGACACAAGGGAGAGGATTTTGTTGGTGTTTTATGTGGGGCAGTTAAATGATTACAGTATTGTAGGTCTTAATGTTCTTTGAAAGGGGGAGGGTATATCCCTCACTGTGTATTTCTCTCTCTTCTGTCAATTTTGTGCTCTTTTTTTCTCTTAGATTGGGCAAGGCTTCTGCTTCCTGAAAGAAGCCTTATGGGATTTGATGTTATTTCACCTATATATACAGTATGCATTCTGTTTTATTTAATGTGGCTTTGATTAACCTCCAAGTATTCTGGAGATATTTGCACTGACCTTCTAGTCCAACTTTTTTTTCTTGTCTTATTCTTCTCATTTTTGAGAAGTTTGTTCTTTGGAAGTAAAATATGATTTTAACTTTTATGTACAAGTTTGTTTCCTAAGGAAGCAAGGCCAAATAATCAAGATCACTAAGCACACTCAGTACATTTTAATTATTAAGAAAGCCTATTCATTTTTGCTTTATAATTTTAAAACTCCATATGTTAATTACTGCACAGGCAGTACACTTCTAATTTAAATAGGATATGATCTGTTACATATGCATATCCTCCGCATTTTGTAATTTCAGGTATTTGGTTTTTAGTACTTTAGGAAGACCATACTTTTATCAGCATTTGTGTATTTCCTGGATTTGCACAACAGGCCAGATTAAAATTAGGTTACTTTCAATGTGTTGTGTGAACCCAAGTGACTAAATTAATTCACTATGGTATGATTACAACCATTATTTTTAAAACATTCTATCCCTGGAATTCAGAGTCATTAACAGTATAAAAATATCTAAACATGAAGCACTGTCTGTTCACATAGTTTAAACTTGTAGCTGCAGTACATCACAATATTCAGTAAAAACAAGGAATTTTGTAGTAATTAAAATGCTTAACAAATTCTGTTAAACATTTTTATGGATTTCATGAAACTCAGCCATATTAGACACTGTACACTAGCAAGGAGCAAAGGTGTATCTGACTATTATCTGCTGAGCAGCTGGTGGAACTCTTACAAAGTAATCATCCCACCCACACCAAACTATTTCAGATGTGAGGAGGTTATTGCTGTGAGTATCCATACAGGTGACAGCTGAAAGAAGAGATGTAAGGATAACATACTCACAAATATAAAGTGAGAGGTCAACCTCAGAGAGATAATAGGTCTGCCATTAACTAGAAGCAGCCATTGTCTGCACAGAGTACTCTCATTGTGAGGTGTGTTTTTTTTGCTCCAATTCTTTAATCTTTTGATTATCAATATTAATTGCAGGTAATGTTCCATAATATATATTGAATGCTTCTTTCCCAAAGAAATACACATGTTGTTAAATCAATACAGAATCAAAAATGTGGAAACATGCTTCTTTACTTTATACAAGATTGTCACATCACTGTATAGGACTGCAGAACTAAATATTGTGCAATATATGGTAGTATTAATGGGCAACATTACCCATCTTCCACAGCTTTTTAACCTTTTCTTGTGATGAGAGATTTTGAAAGTCTTGGTATAAGCCTACTACAGCAAGCATGAGGTATTTTGTGGTTATATGGCACGCTGAACCAAAAACCAGGTACTAACAAACATGGCAGGTTGAGTTCTCACAATATTCTAGGTTAATGTTTTGTGAGAACTCAGCCTGCCATGTTTGTCAAGCAGAATTCCTTCTCTTCCTCATGTGAGGAGACTTGACAAGCATGATGTTGCTGCTGGTTGTTTAAGAGGGACTGAATGAACAACAGTTAAGCATGTGTTAACATGCTTTGTGAACATAACCAAGATTTTCTAGTTGCATTGACTTCAATATGCCACAGAACTGTTGAATTGTTTCCAAGTTGAACTGTTTCCATGGTGAAGAATCCATTGTTAACTAATCCACCATTTCATACCTTAATCAAATTGTTTCATTTCACATAGCACACTGAACCTAATCAACTCTGGATCTGAAAATCCTATTTACCTAAAATGTGGTTGGCTAATGTGCAACTCAATAGTTGTACCTGCAAGCAGATTTTTCATATTTATTCAAACCAATTGCCTGGGTTTCCCTTAACAGTAAAGTAACAAGTGCCTAAGTATGCATGGTACAGTACTTTAGACTATTTGTATTGGCTACTTTGTGGTTTAGTATTCTGTGCAGATGAAGGACATTGGATTAATTCAGTAAGCCATGGTTCCGTTAAGCATGGGTTAGCATTTCATGAAGACAGAGCCTATGATCACCTGTACAAAGAAAAACTGCCTGCTTGTTATAAATTAAACGTTTTAGAAATCCATTCGAAAATAGCATTTGTTCCTGTTTGGGACCATTCCCTGCATGGGAAGGTTGTGCCACGTGACCTCTAGTACCCAGACTCCAGAAGAAGAGGTGTGGCTACCGCCCTTTCTTGGACTACACGATGTGCTTTCTTCCTCCGACGTGCGTAAGCGGCTCCGCTTCCTTTCGCGTTTGCGCTGGGACACGTGACAGGCAGAGACGGCGGCCGGCCCGGCTCACCGTCCGCGTGTAGCGTTCGCTTCTGGCTTGCCGCCCCCTTCCTTCCTTCTTTCTCTCCCTCCTTCGGAGCTGACGCCGCGGCCTCAGCCTGGGCACGCGGAGACCGGGCAGGTACCTTGTCGGGGTGGTCGGTGGAGGGTCAGGAGCGCCAGTGTGAGGCGATGGCGCGAGCCTCGGCCTAGACAGGAGTTGGGTGAAGGAGAGCCTTCAGGAGTCCGGCCAAGGCTGGCCTGAGGGTGCCGCGGTTGGATGGTGAGGAGGGCCGGTAGCGGAGCGGACCCTCCGATTGTCTGAGGAGACGCCAGCCATGCTTGAACGGGGTGGGTCGGTGGGCGCGACGTTGCTAGCCGAGCTTCTTGGCGTGTCTGGCCCGGCGTGGCTGGTGGGGAGGAACCCAGAAGCTTCAGTTGCGGCTGGTGGGGCCCTCCGGTCTCGGGACCGACTGTGGCTTTTCTGGGGGGGCCTCAGGGGCCCCGCAGTGCTTGCTACTTTCCATGGTGCCTCTGTGTAGGAGGTGATGCTGCAGAAGCCGGGCGGGCGGAGACAGAAGCAAACGCGTTGGGAACTGCACGGAAATGTGCTTCAAAAACGCAAGACAAAAGCCTGGCTGATCGAGAGCACAGGTTCGATTAGTCCAACATCTTATTTCCGAAAACAACCGCCCAGATGCTTTCGAAAAGCTCAGAAAGGGCAAGAAAGTATTGCTTTCTCTTATTATACGATTGGCCCTCCTCTCCCTCCTCCTCCCGGTGCTTGGAGATAATCTTTTTTAACATGGAGGCTCCGTTTAATCGTTAGTGATTGTTGCCTTGCGGGATGATGGAATAGAAGAAAATGGGTTTCCTGGGTTCTGCTGTCTAGTGCGTACAGATTTTTAAATTGATGCAGTCTGTTTTTCCCCCAGAAGCCCCGTCAAAATATCTACTATAGAATGGTAGAATAACTTTTTTTTTTCTGAGTATGGTCTCCTTTCAAGCATTTATGCTTGGTTTCAGGAGCTTACGATAGGAGGAATAGAACCTTTTTTTTCTCTGTCACTATTTAAAATTATTGGGAGTTGGAAACTTTTGCCAGTTTCCAAGTACAGATGTCTGCCATTAGCAAGTCTTGAATCTTCTATATAATCCTTTAGAATTGAAGGTTCTATATACTGATTTTCATAGCAATGCTTGCTTTGTATTTTCTCTTCTGAGGGCTTTATAAATACCTTATCCTTAAGCACCTGTTTCCAATAATATCCTGGGTTTTACTGTAATTCTTTTAGTCCCTGTTTTGGAACAGTATCATGCTATTCAGTTCAAACGTAATAAAAGGTTGCCTTGCATTAGGTCATAGCAATGTTGATCTTTTAAAAAAAGAATTGGGTAAGTGTTTTGGAGCATATGACATTAAATGCTGACAAAACAGCAGAAGAAAGGGGGACTTTTTAAGGAGGAAGAGCAGGTCCCACAGTTTAATTTTTATAGTAAGAAAAGCATTCATTCTTGACTGAAATGTAAAGAAAAACTAAATAAACACAGTTAAGAAGTTATAATTTTGTTGTTTAGTATATCATAGAATATTGGGTGTATGTAGAAATCCTAC